AAACCAATCACAAGGAAAGAGATTGAAACAGCAATCAAAAGCATCCCAAAGAATAAAACCCCAGGACCAGATGGCTTTCCTGGGGAATTCTACCAAACTTTCAGAGAGGATTTAATACCTATCATTTTTAAGCTATTCCAAAAAATTATAGAGGATGGAACACTTCCTAACACATTCTATGAGGCCAACATCACAGTGATACCAAAGCCTGACAAGGACAGCACGAAAAAGGAGAACTACAGGCCAATATCGCTGATAAACATAGATGCAAAAATTCTCAACAAAATTTTGGCAACCTGAATTCAGCAATTCATCAAAAGGACCATATATCATGACCAAGTGGGATTCATACCAGGGACACAGGGATGGTTCAACATCCGCAAATCAATCAACATGATACATCACATCAACAAACTGACGAATAAAAACCATATGATCATCTCAATAGATGCAGAGAAAGCATTTGACAAGATCCAAAAGCCATTTATGACAAAAACTCTGAACAAAATGGGGATAGAAGGGAACTACCTCAACCTAATAAAAGCCATATATGACAAACCCACAGCCAACATCATACTCAGTGGGCAAAAACTGAGCGCCATCCCCCTGAAAACAGGAATGAGACAATGATGCCTTCTATCACCACTCTTATTTAACATAGTACTGGAGGTACTGGCCAGAGCAATCAGGCAAGAAAAAGGAATAAGAGGAATCCAAATAGGGAGGCAGGAAGTGAAACTCTCACTGTTTGCAGACAACATGATCTTATATATAGAAAACCCCAGGGGCCGGTTCCATGGCTGAGTGGTTAAGTTTGCGTGCTCTGCTGCGGCGGCCCAGGGTTCGGATCCTCGGCGCGGACATGGCACCACTCGTCAGGCCACGTTGAGGCGGCGTCCCACATCCCACAACTAGAAGGACGTGCAACTAAGGTATACAACTGTGTACAGGGGGGTTTGGGGAGATAAAGCAGGAAAAAAAAAAAAGAAGATTGGCAACAGTTGTTAGCCTAGGTGCCAATCTTTAAAAAAAAAGAAAAGAAAAGAAAACCCCAAAGAATCCATTGGAAAACTTTTAGAAGTAATCAACAACTACAACAAAGTTGCAGGGTATAAAATCAATTTACATAAATCAGTAGTATTTCTATAGTCTAATAAGGAACTAACAGAAAAAGAACTCAAGAACACAATACCATTCACAATCACAACAAAAAGAATAAAATATCTCAGGGTGAACTTAACTAAGGAAGTGAAAGACCTATGCAACGAAAACTACAAGGCTTTTCTGAAAGAAATGGATGACGAAATAAAGAGATGGAAAGACATTCCATGTACATGGATTGGAAGAATAAACATAGTTAAAATGTCCATTCTAACTAAAGCAATCTACAGATTCAACACAATCCCAATCAGAACCCCAATGACAGTCTTTACAGAAATAGAACAAAGAATCCTAAAATTCATATGGGGCAAAAAAAGACTCAGAATTGCTAAAGCAATCCTGAGAAAAAAGAACAAAGCTGGAGGCATCACAATCCCTGACTTCAAAACATACTACAAAGCTACAGTAATCAAAACAGCATGGTACTGGTACAAAAACAGGTGCACAGATCAATGGAACAGAATTGAAAGCCAAGAAATAAAACCACACATCTATGGACAGCTAATCTTCGACAAAGGAGCTGAGGGCATACAATGGAGAAAAGAAAGTCTTTTCAACAAATGTTGCTGGGAAAACTGGAAAGCCACATGTAAAAGAATGAAAATTGACCATTCTTTTTCATCAGTCAGCAAAATAAACTCAAAATGGATCAAAGACCTAAAGGTGAGACCTGAAACCATAAGGCTTCTGGAAGAAAATACAGGCAGGACACTCTTTGACATCAGTATTAAAAGGATCTTTTCGGACACCATGTCTTCTCAGACAAGGGAAACAATAGAAAGAATAAATAAATGGGACTTCATCAGACTAAAGAGCTTCTTCAAGGCAAAGGAAAACAGGATTGAAACAAAAAAACAACCCACTAACTGGGAAGAAATATTTTCAAGTCATACATCCAACAAAGGGTTAATATCCATAATATATAAAGAACTCACACAACTCAACAACAAAAAATCAAACAACCTGATCAAAAAATGGGCAGGAGACATGAACAGACATTTCCCCAAAGAATATATACGGATGGCTAATAGGCACATGAAAAGATGTTCATCATCGCTGATCATCAGGGAAATACAAATCAAAACTACACTAAGATATCACCTTATACCCATTAGAATGATAAAATAACCAAAACAAAAAGTAACAAATGTTGGAGAGGTTGTGGAGAAAAAGGAACCCTCATACACTGCCGATGGGAATGCAAACTGGTACATCCACTGTGGAAAACAGTATGCAGATTCCTCAAAACATTAAAAATAGAACTACCATACGATCCAGCTATCCCACTACTGGGTATCTATCCAGAGAGCTTGAAGTCAGCAATTCCAAAAGTCCCATGCACCTCAATGTTCATGGCAGCATTATTTACAATAGCCAAGACACGGAAGCAACCTAAGTCCCATCACCAGATGATTGGATAAAGAAGATGTGGTATATATATACAATGGAATACTACTCAGCCGTAAAAAGTAACAAAATCATCCCATTTGCAACAACATGGATGGACCTTGAGGGAATTACGTTAAGGGAAATAAGCCAGATAGAGAAGGACAATCTCTGTATGACTCCACTCATATGAGGAATTTTAAAATGTAGACAAAGAGAACAGATTAGTGGCTACCAGGGAAAGGGGTGCACCTACAATATGACTGACAAACAATAATGTACAAGTGAAATTTCACAAGATAGTAACCTATCATTAACTCAATAAAAATTAAATTTAAAAAAAAAGATCATTCCCACAAAAACAAAAAAGTACAAAAAGAACCAAATGCAAATTCTAGAAAAAGAAGCATCAACCCAGAACTCCACATCCAACAAAAGCATCTTTCAAAAACAAGAATTAAAATAAAGACATTTTTCAGATAAATAAACTCGGAGAATTTTTCACCAGTGACTTATACTGCAAGAAATGCTAAAGGGTATTCTTTCAGGTGAAGGGAAACTCATCTACAAAAAGGAATGAAGATCTCCAAAAACGGTAAATATACAGTGAATAAATATAGAACACTATGCTTTATTTCTTCTAACTTCCTTAAAAGACAACTGATTGTTAAAAGCAAAAATAACAATAGTATAAGTAGAACACAACATCAATAGAAGTAAGAGATATAAAAATAGCATAAAGGAAGGGGTAAATGGAATTAATCTGTTGTTCACTTATTACATTTATGAACTGCTAATTGAGAAGCAGGAAGTGGGAGGTGAGTGGCGGTGTCAGGTGACAAATGGGATGTGTAAAGGTGTTAACTGAGAGGCAGGAAATGAGAAATGTGAATTGTGAAGTATAAAGTGGTACAATATTAAAGCAGACTCTGATAAGTTAAAGTAAACTTTGATCATTTAAGGATGCATACTGCTACCTGTAAAAATATTATACAGAGGTATAGCTGAAAAGCCAATAAAGGAATACTAAAAAATTCAATAACCCAAAATGTGATAGGAAAGGATAAAGGGAAGAAGAAAAACCAGAAAGATCAAATGGAAAAAAAAGAAAATGTAGACTAACATCCAACCATATCAATAATTACATTAAATGTAAATGGACTAAATACTTGTATTATACAGTAGAGATTGTTAGATTTTAAAAAGCAAGACCCAACCATATGCTGTCTACAAGAGAGATTTTGTATATAAAGACACAGAGAGTTCAGAAATAAAATAGTGGGAAAAAGACATTCTGTGCGAACAGCAAGCACATGAAAGCTGGTATGGCTATATTAGCATCTGACCTAGAGAATTCAAGACAAAGAGAAAAAGAGGCACATTTCATTATGATAAATGGGTCAAATCACCTACAACACAAAACAATCCTAAACATACATGCACCTAATATCAGGTCTAAAGGGACAAATCCTCAATCACAGCTAGAGATCTTAACAGCCTTCTCTCAGGAAATGACAGAACAAGTAGACAAAAAAGCAAAACATCAGTGAGGATACAGAAAATCTGAATAACACTATCAACCAACTTGACCTAATTGACACAGACCCATCAACTGCAGAATACACATTCATTTCAAGGCATATGAAACATTCACCAAAACAGACTACATGCATAATTAAGTTTCAAAAGACTGGAATCTTAAAGTATATATTCTCTGACTACAGTGCAATTCAATTAGAAATCAATAATGATAAAATATCTAGAAAATGCCAATATACAGAAATTATTAAATAACACTCAAATAACCTAGGCTCAAAGAAAAAAGATCATGAATTAAAATATATTTTCATATTGAATGATAATGAAAACACAACATATCAAAATTGTAGGAAACCGCAAAAGCACTACTGAGACGGAAATGTACAGTTTTAAATAAATATGGTTAAAAATCGAAAAAATATACAAGTATCCTTCACTATGTTAATCTGTTTGGCTTCTGAGTTTCAAACAACAAGTAGAAAGATTTGAGATAGCAAGAGACCGATGGGTAGACTTACTCAAATTTATTTGGTTCCTGAATTAAGACAGCAGTTGCAAGAACATTTAGGGGAAATGACATTTAGGAAAAATTATAAATCTTATAAAATATTTAAATCTGATTTTAGCAAATTATACTTTCACATAAAGGCAAGAAAAATTGCTTATTTATTCAAATAAATTATTGTTATTGAAATTTATTCAAAATTAAATTGCTTATAGATGGTTTATGGGTTTATATCACAATGACTTCATGAGAATCTGCTCCTGTTATGAAAAAAATTCTAAGTTATCCTAAATGTATAGTTGTTATACTTATTAAAGCTATAACAAATTAGAATCAATTTAAAATGTACATCTAGGTAAGTATACATACTATATATACACATATAAGTAACCATTTGTTGTGCACCTACTATTGACCAAACTTTAGTCAAGCTCCAGAATCTTCTTTTTGACTAGGCCTGGCCCTTGGGCTCTGTCATTGGCCCCTTTGGTCCAGTTATAGCCAGAATCTTCCTGGGTCCCATTTAGGGAAAATCCCCCACCTTTAAAATCTGATCAAATTCTACATTCCCCAACCTTGATATGTGAACACCCTAGACACCTGATCAAATTCCTTATCACCCTGGCCTGCCTTCAGCAAAACTCCTGCCAAGTCGGTTTAGATTGAATCTCTCTTTACCCCACAAGTTTCCTCTTAGTAATTTTCCACTCACCAACCCCTGCGCTGCTCTTTGGCTATAATTCTCCACTTGTCCCTTGCTGTATTCACAGGACAGCCCAATTCCTCTCTGCTACTGCAAAATCCCACTGTAGCAGTCCCCCCGAATAAAGTCTGCCTTACACCTAACGAGTGTCTGAGTAATTTTTTCTTTAATACTACGTATCAGCTCCATTTGGGCCCTGTTCGTGTCATTTCTAATCCTCACCATCACTGTGCAAGGTAAATATTAAAGTTTATAGATCAGGAACCTCTGAGGCTCACAGAGGCAGCCAAATTCAAACCCAGAAAGCTCTAACGCCTGTGCGTCGGGAAGGAGAGCTGCCAACGTTGGGAAATTTGTGGGGGCGGGTATCACAAACGGCTGGAGGGGGAGGGAGGGGCACCGGGCACTTAGCGCCCCGGAGGCCACCGCTGCTCGAGCGCCGCAAGGCTCTGGGCAATGCTCCCCCGGAGCTATTCTCCACCCTCTGCCCCCAACGCCGACGGCACCCTGGAGAGAGACTCCGGCCATCAGCCCATGCGAGTTTCCTCTTCCCGAGGCTCGTTTCCAGCCTTTGGGGAAAGGCAGGAGGGAGGAGCCCGTCTTGGGTCCCAGTCCAGCGACGTGGCGGGAGAGTCCGGCGGCGCCCACAGGCTCAGGGACGCAGGTCTGGGTCGGGGCACGGGCGTCTCCACCGCCGGAGCCCACTCACAGCCCGCCGCCCCTCCCCCGCACTCGCCGCCGCCCGCGCGCTCCCAGTCGCACAGGCGCGCTCCCGCCCACCCCGCCGCCGCTCCCAGGGACCCAGCCGAGGCCCGCGCGGACGCGGGCGGCGCCAGGCCCGACCCGGGGAGGCCGCGGCCAGGCCCGCCCAGCCCGCGCGCGCTCACCTCGGCCCGCGGCGCCGGCTCCGGGCGCACTTCCGGAGACGGGCGGCTGCGCGCCTCCGGCAGCCGGCGAGCGGCGGGGGGCGGGTCAGGGGCGGGGCCGGAACTGAGGCGCAGGCTCCGATTGGCCGCTCGGGCCGCCCCGCCCCTTCCCCGCCCGCCCCTCCGCAGCTGTGAGGCCGCGTTCCGAGGTTCCTGCGCTGTTTCAGTTCTCACCCAACAGCCGTTCGTTGAGTTCCTAGTTGGGGTCAAGCCCTGCGAGGGCTACGAAGATAATTCCCTTGTCCATCCCAGACTCCTCTGTCCAGTCCCACACCCAAAGCAGAAACTACAATTATTCCCGGTTCTTAACCCAGTCTCTGTCCTCGTTACCATTCTCACTTCACTTGACCTCCCTGGGGCATTTGATTTGCCCCGACTCTTCCCTGTCTTGCTTTTCCAACTCTCACCAAATCTGCGTTTCCTTCCACTTCTCCCCTTCCAATGTTGGAGTTCAATGAGGCGCCAACCTCTCCTCCCACCTTCGTTTCTTGTCTGTCTGTCTCCCTCTGACTCTCTCCCCTTTAAACCCACTCTACTTCAACACAGACGTCGTCCTTGCCTCCTTCCTCCCCTTGTCCTTCTCTTTCTCACACTGCAACAGTCGCCAAGTTCTGTGATTTTATCTCATCTCAGATACTCTTTTCTCTCTCCATTCTCTACCTCTACTTCGGCTCATTTCCACATCACTTCTAACCCAGATAACGGCCCCAGCCCTCTCACCAGTTTCTGAGTTTCCAGTCTTGCATTTTCAGGCCATCCTGCACTGGGCCACAACAGTCATCTTATAATGCTAAGTTGTGTTAATGCAAGCATCGTGTCCAAATCTGGGAGACTGAAGTGATATGTGTATTATATATTCAATCTTGGCAAATTGGCAAACTGGAGAGCATTCAAAAAAGGAGTTGCAGTATGGTGAAGTGCCCTGTCCCGTGTTTAGAAGAACTGGAGACAACTCTGATGAAACAAAGCTTTGGTGGGTGGAGGAGAGGTGTGAATCATAATATCTTCACATATCTGAAAAACCGACCAGTGAAAAAGAGATTCAACATGTTCTCTAGGTCCCAGTGTGTGAAAACCACTATTTCAGCTTAACCCAGGTGCAAGTTTCTAAAGTTGACTTATATAACAATGTTGCGTTATGATTTCCTGAGCAGAGCATGGGCAACAATTTATCATGAACATTTAGAAGGACACCTGCATTGGACGTTTCTTCCAACACCAAGGTGCTTTGCTTCCAAGAAAATCAAGAGATTGGCTGCTTTGGAGGGGAAAACAATGAGGTTTTATCTTCAATGTCTTATCTTTCAGCTGATCAGCATCTAAGGAAGATAACAGTCATTCAAAACTTTTAATTGGGCTACAGACTACTTTGTGACTCTGATGGAAGCTATAAATCTTTTCCCAAAGAAGACGCACATACACATCTACACACAAAATTTTGCACACAAATTCAGGAAGCTCGCAGAGCCTTGAAGCCCATCCTTGGAACCCATGAACCTCAGGTTGAGAACTCTAACCGGTTGATGTTTCCTGATACGGAAATGACACTTGGCAGTTTAATAATTCTTTATAAACTGGCAATTTGGGATGAAACATGAAACTTCCCTTCTTTCCAAGCCGATTGAACAACCAAAAAAGATATTTTAAAAGTTAGAAGATACCTACCTCAGCTTAGGAAATAAGGGAAAGGTGTCATCAATTTCCATTTATTTATTCACTCACTCATTCAATAAATATTTATCAGATGCCTCCTCTGTGCCCAGTATTGTTCCAACAGCTGGGTATACAACAGTGAACTAAACAGATAAAGTCCCTGCCTTCATGGGACTTACATTTTGGGAGGGAGCAGGACGATAAATAAATACACAAGTAATAATAAGTATGTTCGATAATGATGAGTGTTGTGGAGAAAATTAAATCAAGGTAAAGGGGGATAGGTAGGGTTAGAGTTGGAGTGTGATTTATATAGGATGGTCAGAGAAGGACTAACTGACAAAACAACCTTGAACCCAGACTTGAAGTGAGGGAGCAAGGTTTGTGGATATCTGGGGGAGCTTTCCAGGCAGAGGAAATAACAGGGCCCAAGCTCTAACACAATAAGTGAAAATAAAGAAGACAAGAGGTATGAGGGGTGAGCCCTGGGACATACCAACATGTAGGGTCAGGGAGATAAGGAGGATCCATTAAAGGAGAAAGAAATGGAGGAGCCATTGAGGTAGGAGGAAAACCAAGAAAGAGCAACATCCTGGAAGCCAAATGTACAAAATGTTCAATGAAGGAAGAGAGAGTAATCAACTGGATCAAATGCTAGTGATCAAATGTATAATGGGGATTGAGAGTTGACCATTGGTTTTAGCAGCAGGGGAATCATTGGTGACCTTGACAAGAGTTGTTGGGAGTGGAGAAAGTCTGAGTGGAGCAAGTTCAAAAGAGAATGAGAGGAGAAATATTGGAGCAACAAATACAGACAAGTCATTCAAGAAGTTTTATTATAAAAGGAAATGTCAAAACAAGACAAATTAGGAGATATTACAGCATGTTTATATGCTGATTGGAATGATCCAGTAGGGAGCAAAAACTTGCATTTCATGGGAGGGAAGGGACAACTCCTGAACAGTATCCTTGAGCAGAGGAGAGGTTGATCTTTGAATAACAAGGCTCGAGGGTACTCCTACAATTTAGGCCATGTGGGGCACCCACAGAAAACATTCTACAGTGAAGAGGAGTTTAAAGTCAAAAATTACAAGGCACACCAAAAACAACCCATCAAAAGGAACAGTCACCAGTTAGAAAAAATAAAAATAAAAAATGAAAGAGATTTCATTCCCAAAGAGATAATAAAGCAATCTGAAAGAGATTTTAAAACAAGTATTCTAGTTGTTCAAAGAGGTCAGAGAAGTAGAAACCATAAAACAAAGAACACTATGGGGAAAAAAGAAGAAAGAAAGGAGGAAACAAAATACAACTATATCAGGCCAAGTATGTTTTTTGCAAACTAAAAGATATTCACTTTTTAAATTAAAAAAAAAAAGTCTAATCTTCATGAGACTCAGACATAGCAAATATCCTCTTCCCATGGTAGGGATAAGGAAACTGCCATCCAGAAAGGGTGAGTACCTAACTCAAAGCCACAACGACATTCAGTTGCTGACCCTGAATTCAAACTCTGTGTTTTCTGACTCCAAGGCTCATGTTCTTCCCCTCTATGCTGCACGATGCCCCAGGATAAAGTAGGGCAGCCAGGACACGCTGCTCAAAGAGACAGTGTAAGGTTTGGGAGAACCTATTGTGGGAGAACTCCTATGAGAAGAATTTAAAATTAATGCAAGGATGAAGTTAAATTGCATGAGATTGTGGTGGGCCAAATCAGTTATTTCACCAACAATTCTCTGAAATCCAGAAGAAGAAATTTGAAAAGAGTTGTTGAATTGGAGGAGAGATTCACACATCAAGGTTAATGATACACGAATGTCAATGGAGGATGTCAGTGTAGCCTGCATGGAAATGCAACCAACCACGTGGACCAGGGAGGGGAGACCAGAACAGAAACCAGTCCCAATACCCTCCCTCTGCCATCAAGGTATGGTTTACATCCTGTTCACTTCACTGGAGCAAGCAGTGATTTAACTCATGGCAGAGGAACCTGCATTGTCTTTTATGGGTTATTTAGAGAACAGAGAATTAAACAAGATGCTAATTCTGTTTTTTCTGGTTAGGAGAAGTCCTGACACATCACTTGTCTTATGTGGGATGTCCTGAAGGAGAGCTTTAAGATGTTCAAAAAGATTCAGGAGGGGCTAGAAAACGTCTTCCTATAGTGCCTCTACGTAACACAAAGGACCATAAACTTGGCTGGAGAAATCTGAGTCCTACAGTTTTTGTCTCTTAAAAAAACCTGTGACTAACTCTTGATGCTTCTCTAACCAAACCAAATTCCTTTCTGAGGACATAAAATGTCTTCAGACAAAGGGTCCTCGATCTGAGTCTGAAGGATGTCAATGACCAACCCTCCTCTATGCAGATGGTTGTAGATATGGGAACTTTTCTGCGGAGTTTCTCAAATGGATCAATGACTTTTTTTTAATATAACTTAAAAAGTCATTTCCTGCTTAAGCAGACTCCTTTAAACTTCTAAATCCATGGACCTGGAGAGATGAGAAAGAAATTCAGCTCCCCCAGTATTGAATATAAAGGGCTGACTGGTCCCCTCATTTGTCATATGCTGAGCAGATTTGGGTCACAGTATGGAAGCTGCCATGAGAAGAGGAGGAGGTCCATGCCATGGAGTGGTTGACAATGGGGTCTCACATTTTCATTTGTTTTCAACACATTGAGACGTCGAAGTTGACATGTATTGGATTCAGGGGATTTATGGATTACATTAGCTAGTTTTAACTAAACTAACCCTCACAAAATGGACGCATAGTTTTAAAAGTTCCCTGCAAAGTAATCTCAGTTTGAAGATTACAGTAATAATGCAGGCACAGGTAAACAACAAGAAAACGGCAGAACTACACTTCTAGCTTGAGCCCTTTTTCAGATACACTGGGAAGCAGTGCCAACCTAATCAGATCTGACCAAACTCAGGCAAAATAATTTCAAATATTAAGAAATCTACTAGAAATGTGCACTTAGGCCCCGGCCCCATGGCCGAGTGGTTAAGTTCGTGTGCTCCACTTCAGCGACCCAGGGTTTCGCTGGTTTGGATCCTGGGCGCGGACATGGCACTGCTCATCAGGCCATGCTGGGGCGGCATCCTACATGCCACAACTGGAAGGACCCACAACTGAAAATATACAACTATGT